CTTTGTGCATATTCTCTTACATATGATAAGTCAACATTGAAACACCTGCGGCTTTTAGTCAGGTGCGGCTAATGTATGTACAAAACAGGATTTTCCCCTGATTTTAGCTTGTGCGGCTAATATTCAGGTGCGCTCTGTAGTCTGGGAAATACGGTATTTTTTTTCCTCATTTATTTCAGCGTCACACGCAGTGTGCAACATTAGCTGCACACACACAATTATGGGCACACTAAGGTTTGTCACATGGAAAGTGCATGGAGCAGACTCCAGAGAGAAGAGGTTAAAGATAAGATACTTAACCACCTTAAAAACACTACAGGCAGATGTTGTTTTATTATAAGAGACTGATAGACCTGCTACAGCTACAGATGAACTTAAAACACCTGAGTTTCCTGATGCGTTCTCAGCCTGCTATAACTCTAGGCAAAGGGGAGTAGCAATTTTAATACATAAAAATGTTAATTTTACAGTACTCAACACAGTTATAAAGCCATTAAATTATCTATGCTTAACAAAAAGTTATGTATTGTAAGTATATATGGCCCAAGTGTTGATGACCCCTCATTCTTCCATGCTTTTTTCACTGCACTCTTTGAACACCTAGATTGCTCACTTGGTCTTGGGGGCGATCCCAACTTTGGACTAAAGGAAGAAATGGAGCAGGAACTCCTACTCTATTGAGCCTCACTCCTGGAGCTGATTTGCTCTTCACAGTCCACCAGCTGTGGGACAGATGTGGTTGGGTATCTGTGAGCTAGCCTTTGTTCTTTTCAAAAGAAACAAGGGCACCAAAGGTGCTGTGGAAGTGACCTCACCCCTTACGTCTTAGATGTAGTGGTAGTAGGGCTTCCCATTATGAGACTCCTCACTTTGTATTCAGAGAACCCGGGTTACCCTGGTAACCAAACTTTGAGTAAATTAAATAAGTGTTATTTTCAAAAAAGCAGTAAGATTTAATGCACATTCATTCAAGAGTGCTGCAGCCTCTTCGTTCTGCTTCTTGTGGCCTTGTGAGCTGTTCCTGTCAAAGTCTTTATAAAAAATGTTTCAAAAACCTGTTTAACTCGATAAAAAAGGACAGTGTATATGCATAGTGACCTCTGACAGAAGACCAAATTTGAGCACAACAGAAGAGACTAGTTATCTTCTTAAGAATGACTTGTTAAGTGAGAGAAGAGTTGTCAGGATTTTCAGTGATATTAGACAAGGTGGCCAAAATTTTATTGTCCTATTGCTTCAGTATGTGATCATGTGTTGGTGAGCAGCTGCAAAACCGCTTTAAAAACAAAATACATAAACCTAGTTCTGCACTGCATAAGATGAACCTTAGAACAGCATTAAAACCTGACAAGAACCTAAGTACAGACAGAAACTCACACACTTCACATTTTTTATTATAAACTTCATTTATTCTGATAAATCCCCTTGATACTGGATAGAATATATAATCTATCCAGAATGCAGAATAGAATAGAATATATTATCCATTATCGAGAAAAGTCTGCATTTTTCATTTTAGCATTATAAATGATATTTTCATTGTTGGCGACAGACAGGTTACCTTCAGTTTGCTTTTTGCTTAAATACCAACAGAATTTTTTAAGTTTAAACTAGTTTTTGACAGATTACTAAAACGTTTGTGTGTTTTCTTGTTTTTATGACTGGTGGTCTAACACATTTGTTAATCCCTGTCTGTGGTGAAGTACAGCAGACAGAAGAAGACCTTTTTAAACCTTATTTTGGGACACAGCTCTGTTTACTAGATTTGACTGGTGATTCTATAAACGCAATACACAATTTACGCAGTAAATTTTCACTATCGTTTTTTTTTCTCTCCACTTTCACAGATGAAGATGACAACAAAAAACACAATGTTAACACTGTACCGTATACAAGCAGCTCTCCACTATAGCAGGTTCAGGGATGAGGCCAGGAAAGCAGCGGGCGATGTAATGCTGGAGAATCTCAATATCAGACCTGTCTTTCTGCAAATCTCTCTGGTCTGGGTCTGTCTTGCTGCCCATATGGTAGCACACCTGTAATGACATCACTGGTATTAGTTCTATATGAAAGTACCAAAAACTCAGCACATTTTCAGTGATATGAGGAGCAGAAGGACAGCTGCAGTATTGTGAATAGAATAGCTTTGCATTCTGTTATTATGTCATAGTAACAATTTTGCATCTGAGCATTTTGTGTTATGTGACCGTGGGACTAATTGTGGCTTTGGTGTTTATATCAATTAATGACAACAGAGACACAGCTTGAATGGCACTATGCACAAGTTCACTGCAAACCTGGTACTTTTCAAAGGTGCAGGTGCACACAAGAAGCTCTTTGTTCACCATTTTGCAGTTTAGCAGGCTGTCTCAGATTGTTTTTGCAGCACCGATTGGGGTTATTCAGAACTCAATAAAATGCTTTATATTAAATGTAATAAGGCACGAGCATGTTCCGCTCATTTCAGTAGCTACTGTCGGTTAGGATGACTCTACAAAAACTTCCAAAGCATCTTTTTTTGTGCTGTTTTTATAAGCCAGTTTTGACACATACAATCTTACTCGGAGACTAAAGGCAAAGTGAGAACCCTGAGGGATTAAAAGAACTGCTGCTTTGACTTTTTTCTTTAGGTTTTCTGCTTTAGAAAACTGCTTGGCAGGTCCCTGCTGTAAAAACAAACGAACTACAGATGAGAAAATGCCACCGTCTTCTGCTTCATTTTGGCATTCTTTCAAACTGTTAAATGGTCCAAGCATTGCTAGCTCTGGTGACTGTGTCTTCGAGTGAATAATGCAACGTGGCATCACCATCTGTCCTCCCGTTCTCTGCTGTGCATGTGGTCTGCTATTAGACTGTGAGCTCCTGCTGGCTTGCCATAATGCCCAAAATAGAGATGTGTCATCAGATGACATCAACTCCAGCACAAACCTTACAACTAATATGATGTCGAGGGAGAACAAATCACATTTTAAAGTCCACTTTGCCACAGCATTTCTGTTTTTAAAGAAAAGCATTAACAGTTGTGTATAACAAAACATAAAAAAACACTTAAAGTTATCTATTAATTGCCTTAATTAAGTTCTTTAAAACAATAAAATCTAAAACCTTTTTTTCAGCTTTGATAAATAATGGTCAAATGTTAGCAAGACTTGCTTGTGAATTTGGATATACCCTCCAAACATGCATGGATTCATAAACTTTTAAAGCAAAACAGAAAACGTCTGAAGAGCAGATAAAATGTGGAAAAAAGAAGTGAACAGTGTTCGGCAACAATGTTGAAGAATGACCCATCTCCTAGAAATGTACACTTGTAACATTAATTACAGTACCAATTAATTTTGTCAGAAGCACAATTATATTATTATATGCAGTTCATATGTATTTGTTTAAAAGAGAACTCCAAAAGTCATAACCCTACAAATACAGAGTATTAGGGCCACAATACTGATCGCCTGAGGCGGGGTGGTGGTACAAAAACCGCATCTGGTCAGAAGGAAAAACAACACAAACTTGGAAGAGTTGGGCAGATTTGTACACGATGAAATGGCTGGCAATGGATAGATGCAAGGCTGGTTACAGCTTTGTGCACTAAATGCTGGATCACAAGACATGATAAGACAGTTGATCAGTTTCTTTCACTAAGATACCACGCCCTTCTCCTCTGCCCACTCTACACATTATTGTGGATGTTGGGATTCTGAAACACTACATCTACCATCACCACCAACAGCATCTATACCCTGTGGGTCCTGTGCTTTCATTTGGAGCACTGCCTAGTTATGTTGCTTCATCAGAGTCTTATTGCCAAAGGGCAACAAGACCAAAGGACAATAAGCACAGATACTCTATTCCATAAAGGTAGTGACCCTTGTAACTTAAATAATCGCTGCCCCATCTCAAAATTATCTTGCCTAGCAAATCTCAGAGTCCCTCTTAGTGTCAGTTTCACACATATAGTTCATTTACTCCGATCTAAATCAGTTGATGATTTTGCTGCTTTTCCCTGTGATTAGACTTTTTTTCACACAGAGTAATAACCTAAGTGAACTCCAAGCACACCGTAATGTCTCACCACAAACCACGTGACAATGTTCAGTTCAATTATTAGCAAGATGTGTCTGGGTGGCAGCAATAAAACTAAATACAGCAAGAAAGTGCTGTGTTCTGAACTACTGGAGAACATGGACAATTAGAGACGTTTGCACATCTATACTGGTGTGACAAAGTGTTTGCCCTCTTACTGAGTTACTGTTGGATCCTTGTTTACAATTAAATCAAAATTCATATCAACAAGATATTAGATATTAGACAAAGCTAACAGGTAAACACAAAACACAGTTTCTAAACCTACATAGCCCTGTGTGAAAAAGGGATTTCCCCCTAAACCTAATAACTGTTTGGGCCCTTAACAGCAACAACTGCTACTTTTGATACATTTTAGAACTCTCTTATCACACAAACTTTAAAACTTTGTTAAAACCAAATACACGATACTTACAAGGTCACCTAAAATATCCAGCCAACAGTTCATATTCAAACATTCATAGTCATGAAATTTAAAATGTTAAACACTCAGGACTGTGAATGGATGCTAGACTCCCTTTTAAAAATCATGCGGACCACCTCTCAAGAAAAGGCTTAAAGGCTGCATATGTCAGCAAGTATGCCACACTCACCCATTCACACAAGCACCGTTTTTATGTTTTGAAGTGCTTTCTAACTACCATTCACACACATTCATACTCTGATGGATGAATCGGAGAGCAACTTGGGGATATTTAGCATGCAGACAACCTTCCGATCAGCTGTTCTACCTCCTGAGCTACAGCCACCCCAGTATGTGTTTCTTATCACAAAACATTTTTTGCACTTTTGTTGGACAAATAGATCTTGATCTCAATGAGACTATTTGAAGGATGCTAAAAACAATAATAAATTAACTCCTTATAGCAGTTATGTTTATTATTATTTAATTAAAAAGTTATATAAAGTCCTTTCAAATAAAGGGTAACCAGTTATCCAACATGATTTCTACAATATAAAAGGATAAATCATCTGACAGAACTGAATATAATTTTAGTAATATGCCGTTTGGCATTGTTGTTCACTAGTTAGTACAGTCATCTCACAGCAAGGTGGTTTTGCGTTTGAATTCTGTATGGGGGTGCACTGAGATTCAAAGCACAGGGAACTATAGACTGAGTGGCACACAAGAAAATGAATAACATGGAGATAAGGAAGTGAAAAAAGAGACTAGAGTTCAAATGCCCAAGAATGTAGGCACATGAGTGAATAAAGAGCTCAATGAACTTACAAATAAGATTAAATAACTGCTTGTTGGTAATTTTATTACTCATATTCTTTTTAAAATATTAGTTATTTTTACTTTATGATATTGTTCAATAAAAAGCAGAGAGGACACCAGTGAAGACGTGCAAGTAAAAGGTCAGATTTGAACTGGACCGCTGCATTTGGCCCTGTTTTTGCCTGTTCATGTCAGGGGCTGTGACCCAGCATTTTGAGTTTATTTTTGTGATTTCTTATATTATATTGAAAGGATATCAAGTTCCAGTTTTATTATTAGTTGGCCTTGAGTTTTAGGTCTAGTTTAGGTTCTTCTATGTCTCTTTAGTTATGAGTCCTTTCCTGTCCTCTATGTGGTCTGTCTTGTCCTCAGTGCTTTACTTTCAGTCATGCCCGTGTGCTTGTCTACCCGTGTTCTATGTTCTTATTGTCTAGCTGGTGTTGTCATGTCTACGTCTCTCTATGTTTCCTGTTTTATTTTGAAAAGCCTGGTGTTTCCATGCTTGATGTGTTTAGTTTTACTTCCCCTGTGGCCTCATTATGTTTATTCTAGTCAGCTGTTTCCCCATATGTTCCTACTTCCCCTACACACAAAGACTGTTTTCCTTCAGTCTTCGTCAGGTCATCTGTGTTTCCTCCCACCATGTCACGTCAAGTTCCATGTACTTCATGTTTCATGTTCTTGTTCATCATAGTTTCTCGCACGTTCCTGGTCAGAATACAGGGAGTGCAGAATTATTAGGCAAATGAGTATTTTGTCCACATCATCCTCTTCATGCATGTTGTCTTACTCCAAGCTGTATAGGCTCGAAAGCCTACTACCAATTAAGCATATTAGGTGATGTGCATCTCTGTAATGAGAAGGGGTGTGGTCTAATGACATCAACACCCTATATCAGGTGTGCATAATTATTAGGCAACGTCCTTTCCTTTGGCAAAATGGGTCAAAAGAAGGACTTGACAGGCTCAGAAAAGTCAAAAATAGTGAGATATCTTGCAGAGGGATGCAGCAGTCTCAAAATTGCAAAGCTTCTGAAGCGTGATCATCGAACAATCAAGCGTTTCATTCAAAATAGTCAACAGGGTCGCAAGAAGCGTGTGGAAAAACCAAGGCGCCAAATAACTGCCCATGAACTGAGAAAAGTCAAGCGTGCAGCTGCCAAGATGCCACTTGCCACCAGTTTGGCCATATTTCAGAGCTGCAACATCACTGGAGTGCCCAAAAGCACAAGGTGTGCAATACTCAGAGACATGGCCAAGGTAAGAAAGGCTGAAAGACGACCACCACTGAACAAGACACGCAAGCTGAAACGTCAAGACTGGGCCAAGAAATATCTCAAGACTGGTTTTTCTAAGGTTTTATGGACTGATGAAATGAGAGTGAGTCTTGATGGGCCAGATGGATGGGCCCGTGGCTGGATTGGTAAAGGGCAGAGAGCTCCAGTCCGACTCAGACGCCAGCAAGGTGGAGGTGGAGTACTGGTTTGGGCTGGTATCATCAAAGATGAGCTTGTGGGGCCTTTTCGGGTTGAGGATGGAGTCAAGCTCAACTCCCAGTCCTACTGCCAGTTTCTGGAAGACACCTTCTTCAAGCAGTGGTACAGGAAGAAGTCTGCATCCTTCAAGAAAAACATGATTTTCATGCAGGACAATGCTCCATCACACGCGTCCAAGTACTCCACAGCGTGGCTGGCAAGAAAGGGTATAAAAGAAGAAAAACCCTCTGATCTGATCTGAACCCCATTGAGAACCTGTGGTCCATCATCAAATGTGAGATTTACAAGGAGGGAAAACAGTACACCTCTCTGAACAGTGTCTGGGAGGCTGTGGTTGCTGCTGCACGCAATGTTGATGGTGAACAGATCAAAACACTGACAGAATCCATGGATGGCAGGCTTTTGAGTGTCCTTGCAAAGAAAGGTGGCTATATTGGTGGCTGATTTGTTTTTGTTTTGTTTTTGAATGTCAGAAATGTATATTTGTGAATGTGGAGATGTTATATTGGTGTCACTGGTAAAAATAAATAATTGAAATGGGTATATATTTGTTTTTTGTTAAGTTGCCGAATAATTATGCACAGTAATAGTCACCTGCACACACAGATATCCCCCTAAAATAGCTAAAACTAAAAACAAACTAAAAACTACGTCCAAAAACATTCAGCTTTGATATTAATGAGTTTTTTGGGTTCATTGAGAACATGGTTGTTGTTCAATAATAAAATTATTCCTCAAAAATACAACTTGCCTAATAATTCTGCACTCCCTGTAATGTTGATAATGTTTGTTATCACAGTTACCACAGTTCAGTCATAGTAATCATAGTTTAATTTTTCCCAGTTTAGATTTTAGTTTAGTTTTCGCCCTGCTTGCCTTTGCTTAATTTTTTTATTCATTGTTTTCCAGCCATAATAAATGGCTTTTTGTTTAAATCCAGTGTTTAAACTCGTGTCCGCTCTTGGGTCCTCCTTTCCACTCCCACAGTTCAGCCACTGAACTTAAATAACACCCCTGTTATTCATATCCATAAGCTATACTCTGGTGTCGTTGCCTTCATTTGATTAAAAAAATGTATCTGGTTGAGTACACAGCACAGATTTATATACCAATATTGAAGTGCTAGAAGCATTTACTGAGACAACAAAACCAAATGAGGAACAACAAAATCACATGTTGAAATCAAATTTTGCATTGATCTTTTATAAAGTCTACTTCCTGCTCACAGTTTGTATGTTAGAGGTAGGTATGCAGTAGTTTCTGTGTAAAACTTCACTTAAAGGCCCAGTTACATGACGTACCTTCATCAGCCCTGGGTACTCATTGGACGGAAGTCCGTAGATATGCACTTTGGACTCCAAGCATTCAGTTTGTACGAAGCAGGGAAAGCGCTGCTTCATGCTATAGGACCCAGGAACCTTCTCCTTCCAGTAGCACACGTTGATCTTTACTACCTGCAGTAACGTAAAGTCATTAGCAACACAGTCAAGGACCTCAAGACTGACTGTATATTTATACAGCATTGACCAGCTTGACCAAAAAAATAAATAAATTAATGCAAAATGCCATGCCAGTCTTGGTACTTGTTGAATGCAGGGTTTCCCCACATATGACTGAATTGAATTTATTATAGTTTAAACATATTGTATAATGTATAGTCTAAATTTTAAATCTGAATATTACACATTTGAAACAAAATTAGCACGTTGATATCAGCTTGCAAACACCATAGTAGCTAAAACTTAAAATATACTCATGCATAACACCTCCTACTGCAACCTACTCAGATTTATTTCCTCTGAAACAAAAGTGCTATTACAAAAGTAGCTCTGCAGTGGTGAGGCGAGAATTAGGATTTAATGAAACGTACACATGCTTGTACAAATGACATCCATCAATGGATAGCAATAATAAGGACACATTTTTCAGGAGCTTTTAGCGTAATGAACTAATAGGCCGTACGCTCATTCCCCGGGACAATAAAAATTCTGACAGAAGTGCTCTGGTGAGCCAATGTGCTCAGAGCTTGTGCTTTTCCGCCAGTTCACTCAAGCATGACATTCAACACCTTTTCACCCCACCACCACCCCGCCTGAATAATGCAATTCCAATATCACCTCCACTTCTCCACTCTAACAGCTGTCTGCTTGTTTTCTCATCACCTTGTCTTTTCAGGCTGTGTGGCATATTGCAAAATGGAAAAGACTGATTTGCTGAATCAGGTCTCTTGAGCTGTTTAAATGTGGAAGAGAAATTATTTTGTTTCTGTGGCATCTTCAGATGAATATAAAAGGGTAGGAAGGACAGTATCCCCGTGATAAAAGGGGTGGGGGAGCTGAACTGGATTGGATCTCATGCACTGCATGAAAAAAGTCACAAGTTAATATTCTAAATTAATAATATTAGTCATAAGGTAATACATATGGTGTGTTTGTCACAGGCATCACTAATTACATGCATCTACAGTCAGGAAATAATTTTTCCTCCCAGGATTTTAATCTTCTAGCATCTTTCATTTTGGAGAACAAACCTCTCAGTCCATCAGAACTACAGGAGCTATGGTGCTTTCTTCTCTAGAGGATGTACTTGTGGTTTAGTTCACATCATCTGTGATATGCCCACCAAGGAATTTAACCGAGTCCACAGATTTGCTGTTTATGCAAAGATTGCTCATGTAAAAAATATTATTTGCAAAATTTAATTACAATCTTTTTTGTTTTGCCCACAATAGAATTATTTCTAATAAACCTGGCCACAGCTCATCAACTGAACCACCACTGCTGCTGGTGACTCATGCCCTTATTTACATTTGGATTTAGCAGGTTTTGCAGTTCATTGCAAAACTGACTCAGCCAAGCTAAAAACGAGCACACAGAAGCAGTTAAAATGATTTGGCAAAAAACACAGCGCCTATAAAGCACCACTGAACCAAGGACACACTGAATTTTCTTAGCTAATTTTACGTTTCTGAACATCATTTTACAGCTTACATTAAATGACACGTGAACGGTTATGACTCCGTCACACTAGAGTAAAAATAGAATGGCAGGCACCTAAAGGAAGTTATCTGGTGGTTGTATTGAATTTTGTCACTTTCAATAGCCCATTGCAAATAGCTATTGCAACCAAACGTTCATTTAGAGATTGTGAGTGAAACACCCTCAGCCTCTGGCTGACCAGAGGTCGCAAAGCAATTACACATGTCACCTGGTGGGAGGCAATTTCTTTCTAAATAACTGCAGTCCGACTTGGACTGATTGCAACCACTGACAAATTGACAAATGTCTGCAAATAATTGCTTTATAATTTGAAAAGCCAGACAAATTCTGCAACAGGGAAAATAAATCCATCCATCCATCCGTCTGTCGATAGAGCCTAATCAGAGACACCCACACTGCCCGCTTAAGCTTATCCAGCCTAATACAGAAACCTGGTTACAGCAGGATGATTACGTTAGGGGTATTTACTCATATTTAAACCGAGTCATACAAACTGTCAGAGTCCTCGAAGCACAGGCTGAGGAGTGGCACCAAACTCCAGCTTATAAATCAACCAAAGGCCTTGTCCACCCTAACTGGAAAATTGTATTTGTTGTTATCTATTATCCGCCCGGCCCTCACTCAGAACTTCTGATTTCTCTGACTTTTTATCTGATTTACTGCTCAACTCAGATAAAATAATTATTGTGGGTAATTTTAACATCCATGTAGATACCAAAAACCTGACTGATTATTTCTAATAACATTTAAATTAACAATAATGAATTTCACAGTAGTGGGCAATACATTTCATCACAGTAGATGTCTTCCTGAAGTGCTGTAACTAAGTTTAACCTCCTCAGACCCGAACTCTTCCACGGCATGAAATTTTAGTTTCTCTTTCATATTTGGGCATATTGGGACCCAATGAATGCACAAAAAAAAA